AAGGGAAGTAGAGAGCCAGCAATGCTTCCTTGAAAGGTTCAGATAGCCAGATGGCCCAGACTGGGACGATATTAATAATTATGCTGAGGTAACAACTACAATGTGGGCTTGCGGCTTGCAAACCTGGCTGTGTGGTCATCCGACCAGCACAGGAATCGGGGCCTCCAAGAAAGGAGTGTGCTGAGGTGGGGGGAGGCAGACCTGGGAGGACTCCAGGAAACTGGACTTTAGTGGAGACCTTAGTATTTTATGGTAGTTTAGGGGCTCAGAGACACTAAAATTACATTTACATCTTTGGTCATCAGTGTCCTCCCTCATGGTCTCAAGATGGATGCCATAGCTCCAGGCATTATTGGCTTCACCTAGAAAGTCTGCTCCTGTGAAGTAGGAGCCCCTAATAACTCCATTTTACAGATAGGGGCATTGAAGCTCAGAGAAGTGAGGCCATTTACACAAAGCTGCTCAGTCAAGGACTGTGGGGAGGGCTGGGATTTGAACTCAGGCAACTGATCTCTAGAGTCCTTAGGATGGCCCTAAGCTGGGAAAGAAAGCTGTGGGTGTTTGAATGGAAGGTCCCAGGCATTTTCCTCTTTATTTCCTTCAAGTTGTGTTTCCAGTACTTCCTGGCACCAGCATGATTTGGCAAAGCTCTGGAACCCTGAAATCTATAATACTTGACTCACATTTGGGCCAGAGCCCTCTGGGGAGAACTGCTTCCAAAAGGCAGGCTGCTTGCTTTGGAGCAGTCGGGACTCCAGAAGTCTCAGGGGACTCAGAACTATTCAGAGAAGCAACCAGGTTGGACTTGTGTGTCCAGCTCTGGACTGGGCTGTCCAGTGGTTCTGTCCAAGTTCCTTTCTTTTTTCCTGTCCTGGGGCTTGAACTCTGGGCTTAGGCACTGTCCCTGGGCTCCTTTTACTCAAGGCTAGCACTCTACCACCTGAGCCACAACACCCCTTCCAGCTTTTATTGGAGATATGTTTCGTGGACTTTCTTGTCCAGCCTGGCTTTGATCTCAGCCTCCTAAGCAGCTGGGGTTATAGGTGTGAGCCACCTGCACCTAGTGGTTCTGTCCAGTTGCAAGGGCAGAGTGGCATATGTCTTCTAAGCAAGCTGCTTGGCTCTGCGCTGAGAGGAGAAAGGATTGGGAAATGAGATCCCAGGGCAAAGCAGTAATGCACTTTCCACCTGGCCTGACTTGGGATGGAAAGAGAATTGACCCTTGCTTTCCCAGCCTTCCTCTTGGTTGAAGTTTTCCTTCTTTCCTCCTTTCTTTCTGTGATGGTACTGGGGCTTGAACTCAGGCTCTGGGTACTGTCCCTGAGCTTTTCCCACAGTTTTACTTTGTGTGTGTGTGTGTGTGTGTGTTTAATTGGAGCTGAGTCTCATGGATTTGTTTCTGCCCAAGGCTTGTTTCGAACCTGAATCCTCAGATCTCAGCCTCTTGGGTAGCTGGGATTAAAGGTGTGAGCCACCAGCTCCCGGCTTAAAATTTCTTCTGAACAGAGGCTTGGAGGACTGCAGAAGCAGAGCCCGCAGATTCTGGTGGGGTCAGGAAGAAGGAACTAACTGCCTGGTGTTTCCAGGCAGCGAGTCCTGCCCCCCACTGCTGTGACATTATGCAACAGCACGCAGTGGTATTTCCCAGCACTTGGGAAGTGCATGGCAACGGAGACTCTAAAATTGTCCCCGAGAATTTCCCTATCTTCCCATCACCCCCAACCCCCATCTGAAAGCTGCTGTTTCTTCCTCTCTTGCCTTTTGCTGTTTCCCAGCTACCGCTGGGCTGGCGTAGGCCCTGCCTGTGAGCATGTGCATGTGAGACAGAGGGCCGCTCTGGCTGTGGGGTGAGGGGGAAAGAGCAGGGAAGGTGGAGATGAGTGCCCTTCTGAATCATACTGCTTGAGGCTCCATGTAAGCCGTGATCTGGACAGAGACTCTGTGGTGCCATCAAGCACCTCTGCTTTTCTAGGTCCACTGTTGGCACGCCTTCAACAAAGCGGAAAGGATTGAGTTTATTTATTGTTTATGTGGTTATCTTCTTTCTTCTGCTCTCAAACACACCAGAGGACAGGGGTCTGATCTTGTATTACCTGCTGTGTCTCAGCTGGTGCATAGTAGGTCCTACCTACACACTTGTAGGAATCAGGGAAAGAACCTGGTGATTGGTTCTTTTCTAATGTCCCAGTGTTCCTTGCTCGATCCTGCAAGGCTCCATGCGGTGGTCATGCTTGTGCAGACGGGTTGGGGGTCCCCTCACAAGAGTGGCCATTGTCTCTCCACAACTGAACCCAATGCTGTTCGAGCTGTGTCCCAGCCCGTGAAGGAAGCGGTGCTGCTGGAATGCAGTGACCATGCTCCTGCTCAGAGCAAATGCGTTCACTATACATTTTCTGCCAAATGCATTCACCATCAATTTTCTATCAAAGGTGCCCACACCACCCAGTTCTGACCTGCGGCTTTGGGTAAGAGACAGGTATAAGGCAGAGAGAAACCCTTTATGTCCTCTCTCTCCTGCTGTGGAGCTGGTGTGTGAGGTGATGTCCTTTCAGCAGCCCTCTTGGACTTTGAGGCCCCAAACCTTAAAAAGAAAACCACCAAAGCCACCATGGCGGGGTGGGGGTGGGGCTAAGGCAGCAGTACCTTGACACAGCACCAGCCTCCCTTTGGACCCTCCTGCAATAAGCAGTGGCCTATAGTTTTTTTTTTTTTTTGTTGGTCATGGGACTTGAACTCTGGGCTTGAGCGCTGTCCCTCAGCTCTTCAGCTCAAGGCAAGTGCTCTACCAACTACTTGAGCTACAGTGCCACTTCCCATTTTCTGATGGTTTATTGGAGATAAGAGTATCACGGACTTTCCTGCCTGGGCTGGCTTTGAACTGCGATCCTGAGATCTCAGCCTCGAGTAGCTAGGATGACAGGTGTGAGCCACCTGTGCCTGGCTTTGTTTGCTTTTTTTCTTTTCTTTTTTGGCTGGTCCTGGGGCTTGAACTCAAGGGCTGGGCGCTGTCCCTGAGTTTTGGTGCTCAAGGCTAGCACTCTACCACTTGAACCGCAGCACCACTTCTGGCTTTTTCTTTGTATGTGGTACTGAGGAATCAAACCCAGGGCTTCATGCATGCTAGGTAAGCACTCTGCCACTAAGCCATATTCCCAGCCCTGGCAGGCCTTTTTTAAGAGGTCCTTGGCCATGGTGGGGGGCCTTTTTCTTGGTCCCCACAATTGAGGAGAGGTGCTTCTGGCACCCATTGGGTAGCAGATGCTGCTGTGGTCTGTGCAGGTCGGTCCCACTACCACAAAGAATGATTATGAAGGACCCCAAGGTGGCAATGGTCCTGGGGCTGAAAATGGCAGACTTTCATTACTGCAGACTCCCCGCCAGCTTCCACCAAGTCTCCTCTTGTGGGAGGCGGGTTAACTTGAGTGGGGTCTGCACGGAGGGTTAACAAATGAGTCCAGGCGCGATACTGTCACCAGACCCGGGTCACACAGCACAGCTGTTGCAGAGACCTTTCCTGTTCTGTGAGAGTGGGAAGTGCAAGGCCAGTCCCCTACTGGGGGACAGGTGGCCCACCGCGTCCCATCTCCCTTTGCTCCCTGCCCAGGCCAGGTCCCGACCCCAGCCCTAGTCAGGGTCAAAAGCACCTGACCCCAGATCCCAAAGAACGGGGGGGAGGGGGGGAAGAGCCTCCCGTCCCCCCTCCCCAGGGCACCGCGTGTTCACGGCGGGGAGGGGGGGAGATAAACTAGGAGGACCGTTCCTTCCTAACTATAGTCCAGAAGAGCCACGACCAGAGCCTCTCTCGCCTTTCCAGGCTGCGCGCGGAGCCCCCAGTCATTCCCCGCCGCCCCACGGCTCGGCCCGACCGGGGGTCCCGGCGGGAAGGTCGCGGGCCAAGGTCACCCCGCCCGGGCCACCGGGAGGGAGGGGGGCGGAACCCAAAGCTCGGCTCAGGGTCCTAGAGCCCCTCGCCCGGGCCCTGCTGCCCCCAAGGCAGGTGAGGGCCGGGCCGTCCATTCCGAGACCACCAAGGTCACGCAGGCGCCTCAAGTCGGAGCCCGGAGGGACGCGCGCGCTGGGAGGGGGGCGCGCGCGGGGGAGGGGGCATGCAGGGGAGGGGGCGCGCTGGGAGGGGGGCGCGCGCGGGGGAGGGGGCATGCAGGGGAGGGGGCGCGCGCGCGGGGGAGGGAGCATGGAGGGGAGGGGGCGCGCGGAGGAGGGGCGCGCGCGCGGGGGAGGGGGGCGCGCGCGGGGGAAAGGGGCATGCAGGGGAGGGGGCGCGCGGAGGAGGGGGGCGCGCGCGCGGGGGAGGGGGCGCGCGGCCTCCAGGCAAGGCGGGAATGGCAGGGTCCCGGGGCAGAGAAGTTCGGGAAGAGGAACGGGAAGAAGCGAGCAGAGCGGGCCCCGCGCGCTCCTTTCCCAAGGTCGCGGCAGGCCCCGGGACACCCGATGGCCGGGGAGCCGGGGTGGGGACGCCGGCCCAGGGCAGCGCCCCCCCGCCCGCTTCGATCTCCCCCGCGAGGCCGGTCCTGCGTGGTGTCCGCCCGGCGGAGTCGCGCGTGGCGGGGGTAGTGGCGTAGCCCCGCGGGGGAGGGGCCGCCACGCGTCCCGGCGCCGAGTTGGGGCGCGCTCCGCGCACGCCGCTCGGCCTCCGCGCCCCGCGCCTGCTTCCGGGAGGGGTTCCCGCGGGAGGGGTTCCCGCCCGCGCCCGCGCCCGCGCCCCGCCGAGCTGACGACCGAGGTGCGGGGCGCGCGGAGCTCCCGTGCGGCGCGGGCGCGGCGTGGCACTTGGCAGACGCTCCCTGGCGGCGGGGGCGGCGATCGGCGCCCGGCGCGCTCCGGGCCGCCCCGCCCGCGGCCCCGCCCCCGCCCGCCCGCGCGCCCCGCCCCCGCCCCGCGCGGCCCGCGGTCACCGGCCGCCGGCGCGCCCGGTCCGGGATGCGGCGCCGGGACGCCTGAGCCGCCAGCGCGACTTGCGCGCGCGGGAACAGCCGGCGCCCCGCGGCCGCGCCACCATGGAGGAGCCCGGCGGCAGCAGCGGCGACCCCGGCGGGGACGGCGCCCACCCCGACCCCCGCGGGCCCGGCGCCGCGGCCCCCGCCGCCGGCCCCAGCGCGGCCGCCCGCGAGTCCGAGCGCCAGCTGCGCCTCCGCCTGTGCGTCCTCAACGAGATCCTGGGCACCGAGCGGGACTACGTGGGCACCCTGCGCTTCCTGCAGTCGGTGAGCGCCCGCCCGCCCGCCACCTGTGGCCGCGGCCTCGCTCCCCGCGCCGCTGGCCGCCCGGCCCGGGGCTCCCGTCCGCCGCCGCCCCTCGCGCTGCCCTTTTGTCCCGCCCTCGGCCCCCCCCGCCCCGCTCTCCAAGTTGTTGTGCAGTTACCCCGGGGGCCGGGGCGCGGGGGCCCCGGGCGCTCCCCGGGAGCAGCTTCGCCGCCGGGGCCCCGCCGACGTGGGGACGGAGCGGGAGGACAGCCCGGGGACTGCGCTGCCCACCCGGGGCGCCCCGCCCCGCCCCGCTCCGGCTGCAGCCCAGGACCCTCCGGCCCGGGGCTTCCCGCTCGTGCCCCAGGACCCTCCGGCCCGGGGCTCCCCGCTCGTGCCCCAGGACCCTCCGGCCCGGGGCTCCCCGCTCGTCCCCCCGCGTCTCCAAGTTGCAAACCCACAGCCGCAGCCTCTGCCCGGTGACAAGTGAGCCTCCCCGTGGGGCCGGCCCCTCCTGGCGGGGTGGGCCCTTCCTGGGGGTCCTGGGGGTACAGGGGAGCCCCCCCATCCTCCTTCTCTTGGGAGGGTTTTGCTCGGGGTGGCACAGCTGGTTACGGGCGGGCGGGGAGCGGGGCTCGAACTGCCGGACGTTGCACCGGGGCTTTGGACGTTGGTGGCCGTCTTCGGAGAGGAGGAGGAAGAGGGGCCGCTTCCCTTCTCTCCTAGGAAGTGAGGAAAGGGGCCTGGGGTGCCGGGCGGGGCGGGACGGGGTCAGCGCCGGGGTCGGAGGCGGGGGACTCCCGGCTTTCATCTCCAGCCTCCCGCTGCGTTCTCATTCACTCCCCTCCTCGGCTCCAGGAAGTCTTAAGTCCTGCTGGGGGGGGGGGCGCGGGGTTGTCCGCCTCCTCGGGACCCCAGAGCCAGGCTCTGCTGCTCAGATCGCGGGGGGCGGGGGGGGGGGGCGACGGCGGAGTCCCCCGGGGACCGCGGTGCTCGAGGCTTCGGAGGGGCAGCTGTGAGGTCGCAGGTCACAGCCCGAGGGGCGCGGGGCGTCCGGGCCTCCCCGTGCGGGCGGGGTGGGGGCGGGGCGGGCCTGGGCCTGGAGAGCCGTTTGGCCCCGGGACCCTGCTGGAAAGGCCTGTGAGAAGCAGGGCTGGCTGGGTCTCTCCTTTTCTCTCTCCCTCTTTCTCTCTCTCCCTCTCTCTGCGTCTCTCTTCTCTCTTTTTCTCTTTGGGTCTCTCTCTCTGTGTCTCTCTCTCCCCCTCTCTGTCTCTGTCTCTGGGTTTCTCTCCCTCTGGGTCTCTCTCTCTCTGGGTCTCTCTGTGTCTGTCTGTGTGTCTGTGTCTCTGTGTCTCTGTCTCTCTCTGTCTCTTCCTGTCTCTCTGTCAGTTATAAAGGGTGTGTGTGGGGCAGGGAGGAGGGATCTGCTCCAGGTGAAGCTGGTAGTTCCTGAATTAAGATGCCGCAGGCCCTGGTAGCACCCGGCCGGTGGCCGGCAGGATTGCTGGCAGGGTCTCAGGAACTCTGCTGCTCCTCAGCCGGGAAGAGCAGGAAATGTCTATTAGTGGGGAAGAAAATGTGCAGCCCCACACTGGCCTCTGCCCCAGCCCTGCAGGTCGGCTGGCCACTGCCGCGACCATGGCTCTAAATGGTCCATCCCAACCGAAGAAGTCCACCTTCTTATTATTAAAGACACAGGAAAGAAGACCTCCCCTTCTCCATTTTCTGGATGCTTCCCATCGGCTTGAGTCTGTTCGGTGGTGGTTGGTTGGCATATCCACGCTGAGATTTGTGGGTGCAGCTCTGATATCCGTCTCCCAGCGGCCCCATCCGTGCCCACCAACCTCAGTTTCCCCCACCTGTGACTACTGGGCCAGGGAATCCAGCCTTCTTTCCTTGCCTGTGTCTCCCTGTGTGTCCCAGAGCTGGAGCCAGAAGCAGTCTGATTGTGTAACCCGAGCCAGCTGTCTGCGGGCCCTGGGAGGCCTCCGCCTGGCCCCAGGGGGGAATGGCTCCTGAAAGCCCTGGGCTTTTAGCCCAGCTTCCCTGCCGGGCTGTGCAGTGCGCTGAGGCCACCTCCCTCCCTTCCCTGCCTGGCTTTCCACACTGGGCTGAGGGATTCCCCTGCACTCAGCCTCAGTTCTTTGGGGATGGAGGCAGGGCCTTACGGTGGGCTGAGCCCGGGGAGAGGCCAGGCTGCTTTGGTGTCGAGTCCTTGCCCTTTGACCTGAGCAAGCTGCCTTCCCCTTTCTGAGCCCTGCTTTTCTCATCCGTAAAATGGAAGATGACAATAATGCATTCCGTTTTGTGGGTTTTAAAGAATAAGTTGGGCCTGTTAATGCTTGGAGCCTTGCTTGGCAGCCCGTGGTTCAGATGACCAGGTATTGGCCTCTGGGTGTCCATGGAGCTGGTGGTGGTCAGGGAGGGCTACCTGGAGGAAGTGAGTCCTGAGTCATAGGACTTGGGAGTGTGTGTGGGCTCTGGTGGAGGGGGGGGCTCCCACTGTGTTTCCTTTGCCCCTCTGAGCTGTGGCTGCTAGGTTCCCGTCTGGGGCTTTGTGGTCCCTGCAGAGCCTTCCTCCCCCCCATTCCCCCCCCACCTCATTCAGGCCCTGCATCACCCCCTCTCATCTCCAAGGGAGCTCAGGGTATGTGTTTTATTGTGAATCAGGGAGCAGCAAGAACAGCCTTCTCATCTGGATGCCGCTCTGACTTGGGGGCGCTGCAGGGGTGGTAGGACTCAGCACCCAGCACCTTGGCTCAGAACGTTGGTGCCCATCTTTCAGCAGCCGGGTCTTGTGGGGCTCATCTGCGCAGTGCATGGCAGGCGTTGTGGTGCGGGAGCTGACACTCGGCACGTGGCAGCCCATTCCGCCTCCCTGGCGAGGGAGGCTGTGGCTACCACACTGACAAACGAGAGCACTGAGGCAGCAGGTTTAAGCGAGCTGCCCTAGGTCACCCAGGCTTTGACCATAGGCTGGATTTTACCAGCCAGATACAGTCTGCTTGGTGCAGGGTGCCTGGCCTGTCAGGGTGACGGAGCCTGGGCTTCAAACCCAGTCTGTGTGCCCCTTACCTCTGCCCATGCCCCCCTTGACCCAGATGCCTGCCTTCTTCTCTCTGGTTTGGCTCAGCTGTGGGGGTCTTCACCTTGACCTTGTGACCCATGTTTGGGCTGTTTGTGGTGGTGGGTTAGTGAGTGGGGTCTCTGGAGGGCCCCCCCCCGCGGGTGACCCTGTTTTGCAATCTGTGCCGTCGGCACAGTGTGGGGCCTGTGGCTCAGGAGCTTAGGGTCAGGCACAGAGTAGGGGCTCCAAAAGCTGTCTTGGAGGAGCGCGTAGCAAGGTCAAGAGGCAAAACGTGGGTGCCTCTGTGGGGCCCAACGGTTCACCCCTTAAGGAATGGGTGGAGTAGGGTCTCATGGTTGGGTTGGAGTCCCAGCCTGCCAGCGGGGACCCCGCTTCCATGCTGGGTGTGCCAGCCAGGCAGGGGGGGCAAGAGTAGCAGCATTGCCTGGCACTCAGGAGGCTGAGAGCTGAGGACTGCAGTTCAAGGCAGGAAGGTCTGTGAGACTCATCTCCAACGAACTACTCAGAAAAAGCCAGAAGTGGCACTGCGGCTGAAGTAGTGGCCTTGAAGAAAAGAATCTCAGCGACAGAGCCCAGGCCCTGAGTTCACACTCCACCCAACTAAAAAAGAAGGCAAGCAGGCACCAGGGCATCAAGGGCACCCTGGGCCGAGGGTAGACACCGGCCTGTGCAGGCACCCAGGGGGGCTGAACGCTGGGCCTGGGGCTTCCCAGCTCCCAGGATGCATCCTGTGCTTCTGCTTTTGGAGGGAGGAAACCAGAGTTGTTATTGGAGTTCCGGGGGGGGGGGGGGTGGGGGGCCAAAACAAGAAGCTGTGGTTTGGTGTTGTCACTGCTGTTTGTTTCTTTGACAGATTTCTGCACTTCTGGTCGGGCCCTAGGACACAATGATTGGGGGGTGGGCTGAGGAGACAGGACTTACTGTGACACAGGTGCTTGTGTGAAAGTAGGGTGGCACTGAGGAGCTCCCCGGCTTTTGGAAAATAAACAGTAATCATGTCACAGGCCGTGGGGAAGACTGGAAGGGTGTGTGTCTGATTCAGGAAGGCAGGAAGAGCCAAAAGGGACTAAGTTCTAAGCACTGGTGCCTCTCACTTGTAATCCTAGCTACTTAGGAGGCTGAAAGCTGAGGATCTCGGTTCAAAACCAGCCCAGGCAGAAAAGTCTTATTCTTCCGCTAACAAGCAAAAAGTCAAAAGTCAAGCTGTGGCTCGAGTGATAGAGTACCAGCTTTGAGGGGGGGGAGGGGGAATTAAGACAAGCTAAGTGCATCCAGGCCCTGGGGTTAAGCCCCAGTACTGTTTTTTGTTTTGTTTTTTTTTTTAAGACACAAAGATGTAAGAAAGCATTTTCTGTGAATTAACTCACAAACTGCGGGTGTTCAATGCTTTTGCATTTTATAGTTGCCACAAACACACAGAGGGGCTGAGTGAGTTTCCCATGCTCACACAGCCTGAGAGAGTTGTCATTGGAGTCCCGGCCCGACCAGTACAGGAGAATGAGGCCAAAGGCCCAAGAGAAAGACTGTGTTAGGGTGCTGGGAAGGCCAGGCCGGGACAGTGAAGGCGTTGCCGTTGGGTGTGGGGATCTGTCAGACGCCACGCTGCCCAGGGCGCCCAGCACGCAACTGTGCACAGGCGAGCAGACCGCGGCCCTCAGCGCGCACTGGGGTCCTTGCCTAAGCAGGATGCCCATGGAGACGGAGTCGGCGTGGAACGGCAGAGTTCACAGGCGCCCAGGAAGCAGCCGCCTTCTCTTGGCCTGCAGGTCGTGCAGCGCTCGCTCACTTGCAGGAGACGGCTGGTGTTGGCCTGGTTGTCAGGCCTGGGGCCCTCCTTTAATCTAGCCCGCTGGACTCTGCCTTCTGCAGAGGACCTACACCCTCTGTCAGGTGCCGCCCCGGCCCACAGGTCTGCTTTGTGTGTGCGTGTGTG